CGGAGTGACTGACTCTTTTGTTAGGGGCCATCATTTGCACACTGGCAGCCCTTCCACAGCTTGGTCTCCCATTTTAGATGCCCAAAGGCTTGGGCTAGTGATTATGAGGACTGTGGTTACATGACATACAATTGAACAACACTGGCCAATATTCCCTACCCAATACCTTTCATTGCTTTGGTTATGTAGTACTGAATGCGTATGTCTTCAATGCTGTTTCCAACCCCCAATCACATTGAAACAATGTCATCCAGTGATGTAGCTTGCCCAAGACTTGCGAAACTTCTCTGTGTGGGTTTCTTTCATTAATTTGCTTATGTTTTATTTGTTCACATTTTTAAAATTACTGTTATGATTAGCGGAGCCAAATAGTGACTCCATTAAACCTGTGTATAGACTCCAACATCTAATCACTAAATAATAAACTCCCCAAAACCCTTGGTACTGCTGCCCAGAGTTAGCACTACTCCATGAAGAGACTTATTTTAATCTCTGTAGGAAATGATTTTTATTAGTTAAGTCTTTTTTGCAGAATAGAACAGCATCTGTCTGCTCAGACACCTTGCTTGTGACAATGACAGATAACCAGGGTGTTAGAAAACCACTGATTCTTAACCCAGTCTGCCCCATTTAGGCTTAGCAGTACTGTTTTGAGGAGTGATTTGAGAAAGCCTTTTTTTTTTCCTACCTCTACTGAGCTAGGATATGGGGTTTTCACCATATAATTCTTTACTCTCCCAGCTCCTTTCTTCCATATCCTTCACCTGAACAGCTCTTCTGCAATTTTAAGGAAACTCCCAACACAGAGTGGGACATATATATGGAAATAGTGGGACTATGAAATATGAGTGAAATGGCTTTGATTTTCTTTAAGTTTAAGGCAGGAGGTGAGGCATAACCAAAAACAAGTATTTCAGCTGGGACTTTCAGTCTCATTTTTTAAGATTCTCACTGCCAACCACCCCTATTGAGAAAGATGACATGGTCAGAGTCTTAGGAACTCTAAATGTTTGACTTTTTCATCATTCCCTCAACTGCAGAAGAGAGCTTACTTTTAATCTCTGCCTTCACAAATAAACATGAAATTCTGAATGAACTCAATTCTGAGACCCATGAATCAGAGATCAAACTTGTTTCAGTTCTAGAGAGGGAAGTCTTCCTTAGGTTCACAGGAGATAAGATCCTCATCCTTTAGTATCATCCCATGAATAGGATTGGTCTCCATATCCATGGTCTATAGAAGGTAGATACAGAAGGAACCTAACCAAATCCTATAAGTTTTTCCAAGAGGAAAGAGATCATCTTTAACACCATCCCTCTGATACCTATAGGCTACAGAAAATCACTAAGTCTATTTCATCACTTCCATCTATGAGCCCAGACTGGGAGCAGAAACCTGGAAAGGACAGAATGAGGGTCTTTTCTACATTATTAGGGCTGGGAATGATTAGGTAGAGTAGCAGTTTGCTTTATCAGGTGATTAGAATGTTTAAAAAGCAGTGGTGCCCAAAATTGGGAGGATGTGAAGACACCAGTACTGGAAATTCAAACCAGGTAAAAAGATAGCCATGTAAGCTAAATTACTATCACTTCAAATATGCAAAGCTGGATGACTGTTACTAATCTGTTTGCCTATTGTGAGGTCAGGAGCTATTTTAATATTGTATTAACTATGTCTGCCAGTACGTGATGGACATTTTATTCATGCCCATTCGAGAAAGTCCTGGTCAAATCTTCTAAGCAGTAAAGTAAGTTTTGAACAGTTCCAAGCCATAAACCTTTGAAACATTGAATAAAATATGAATCCATAACCTCTAACAAAGTCTTAAGTAGCTAGGAAACTATTTCAATGATACACAAGCTAATCCAGTTAACATATTTAAACTGAGAGCCCCATATAAACATGGCCTGTCAATGGAAAATGATCAGATGAGAGAATGGATGCCAAATCACAGTTGTGGCAGTATGTGTATACAAACATATACATATATATGTATATATACATACACATGTGAAAGATTAGCACCAAAAAGATGATGTTTCATCTCCCAGAGGATTATTAGAATGTTTGAAAATAAACTGTGGTAAGAATCAGAAGTATGTTCTGTAAACATGGGGAATAATAATACAGACAGAAGCAACCCCTTGGGTCATGCTTGTTAAGAGGTGTGAAATGTGTTATATGTAGCTACATTTCTTTACCCTTGTGTAATGGTAGGGTTTCCATGCTCTTCCTTGGGGAATCTGCTCTATGTGGATGTATTTCCCCATTAAAAATAATTTTTCCCCTGATATTTGGCATAACTTTCATTTACTAACTTCCATTGCTGTTTCCCTATTACTCATCCTCTGCAACAGCACTCACCTATGATATTCTGCACTTCCTTCTACGTACTTATAGCAAAACTAGAACACAGAAGTAATTTTCTTCCACTCTTATCTGGACAATGAGCATCGCCTTCTTGGAATCTCACTTTCCTTCCCCCTACCTTCTCTGACATACTATACCAGTTCTGTATATAGGGGAAAAAAACAAGAAGCCACTTCCAAGGAAAATATCACTCACATGGTGCCACTGACTTTTATAAGATCTCTTTAAGGGCACTGTATAAATCCTAACCCCATTCTGAAAAACAAAGAAACTGGGCAAATGAACCAATGATTTTTAATGCAAAAAAAAATTCCAAGTGAGAAAAATTCAGAAAAATTCTGTAAACATTTAATATTAATTTTTTCAAAATATATTATTTACTACTAGTTCATTAAATAACTAGAGTTCTGCAATTCTATTTACCTATTCTGGTAATGTGTATAGAACACCAAAAAAAGCTGACTGGTTTAGATAACTTAGTAGGGGAAAAAAGTTTGAGCAGTTCTTCAGTATTGATTTTCTTTTTCCAATTTTGATACTCTCTATTTTTGTGACATTCAAATTCAGTACTTTGAGTTTCTGGCTTTTCTCAAAGGGATGATGAGTTTGTCTTTTGTAATCCATTCCTAGTCTTGCTTATTTTCAGATGCAGTCACCTGAGCTTAGTGTTGTTTCTGTGTTGGTCTCCTTTAAAATTACTAATAACTAAGAGTTATGTCCATAAATATTGATGTATATTGACATTTGAATTTCTCAAAATTACAAAAAAAAATTCTGTTCACATTTTATTTTATAACCTAGCCTTTAAATATTCTCTAACATCTGACCTTCAAGAAAATTGATAATTCTCTTCTCAAAATGTTTTATATAACCTGGCAGTTTTATAAAAATCCATCTATGGCACATAACAGTGTGGTACAGAAGACTGCACTATATATAATAAAGTCTTTCGGGTACTTCTAAGGACTAGCCCTTGGTGGAAGGGGGCCCAAGACAGATCCAATTTTCAATTCTGTGTAAATGTGGGAATTTTGTTATACCAAAGCCCATAACTGTCATTGTAGATTGCATTGTAAAAAGGCTCTGATATATTTGGATGGGACTCATCCCCAAGTAGCTGTATCTTACCTTCCTGAGCACTTAGTAAAGTTCCTGGCACATTGCAGGCACTTAACAAATGCTTGTTGACTTGACACTTGTGTTGCTTAGGAAACCATGTTTGTGTATTTGCATCATTTTTGATAGTTCACCTACTTTTGAGGGACAATAAGGCTATATAGTAGTTGAACAACCAGAGAATCATTCCCCACAAGGCAGCTGAGATGATTCATGAAATATGAGTAAACTGTTTTCAGCTCAACATATAGAACATCATCACAGAGACCAACAAGTGTTCCATGCCAAGGAATGAGTGGAGCTATGTAACGTTTCAACAATTGGCACTGTTGCAACCACAGAGTAACCCTATGGCACTAGTTCATGCTTAGTGAGGTATCGTGGTTCATTTATTCCCCCACTCCAAATACACAAAAAAAGACAAATAAATTATTTTATATAAAAAATGCAAAGCCATCCTTCATCTTTCTATATCTCTCTCATTATAGGATAAATAAATTGTTTCCCACTCACAGGGTCTCAGATGGGTTTTAGCAGAACTATTTTCTCTGGCCTGGAGAATTAATCATATGTGGCTATGTGTTTCTATTCCTAACTAATTAGTTACCCTCTCTGTAGCTTCAAAGTAAAACTCTCTGTACTCTTCTGATCTTTGAGCCTTCTCTCCCTATTTGTCATTTTCAGAGGAATTATAGAGCTTGTAAGTTGAAAGGGCCTTTGAAGATCATCTAATCCAACACCCTCAGTTTACAGAAAGGAAACTGAGGACCAAGAATATTACATGACTTGCCTAAGACCCCCACAACTGGTAAATGATAGTCAGAACTTTAACTCAGGAAATAAAACTCCAAGTCCAGTGTACTTCCTACAACTACTTCACCTCTTGACCAGAGAATAACCCTAACCCTCCAAACTGAGGGAAGATCCTCAAAAACTACCCCTAAATATCCTGAGAATTCTTGGATGTTTCGGCCAGCATCTTGCAGTGCATACTGAAAGATAGAGCCAGAGATGACACCAACACTCTAAAAACCAGGCCAACAACCATGTGAACCACCCCGCCTCCTTTTTCCCCCCCAAGACTCACTATAAACAAATATTTAGGGATTTACCAACAGTCTTCTATTCATGGTGGATAAAGTTAAGATAATAATCCCTATTCTAATAGAGTCTTTTGTCCCTGGCATTTCTCTAGTGCGGGTTGAATTTTTTTCCCCCATTTTCTCCAAAGCAAGCACCAGTTGTTTAATTCCATCTCAAGTCAGGATGGAGACACTTTGAAACAGGTTCTTCCTGCGCATCTTAGGCTCTTTTTCAAAAAGTGAAAGGTAACAAGGGGTCGTTGGTTAGGCAGGTACTATCATTATTATTATTCCTATCATTATTATTGTTTGGTAGGGGAAGTGGTGATGGTCTGTTAGGGATGGTTTTATTCTTCTGAGATGGCTATTGAAACTGCTGTCCTGCAATGGGGGAATAAATGAGATCCAGTTGAAACTGTGGATCCAGTACATCCTTCTCTTCCTCCCCCCTTCCTTTTTTGTTATTTTTAATAGGACACTATGCAACTCAGAAATTCCTCCAGCTAACCTGGATTTCATCTCTTGCTGAAGTTCTTCTCTAGCCAAAGTCGGACTTCCTGAAGGTTATAGAAAAAGGGGCCCTTCCCTCCTAAGTAAGCAATTTTTTGTCTCTGCACAACACACACACGCTCAAAGGATACCCCATAGGCTATGTTGGCATTGTTATCCATGCAGTCAGCCACCACCTGGCACTGGGGCGGCAAGGAGAAACGCTCCAGGAGCTGATGGGCTGCTGCACAGCGGTCTTCCTGGTTCCGGTGTTTCTTCACCTCAAAAGACACAGGGGAGTTACCAGGCACCGCCCAACCATCTGATGGATGAGCTTCATCAATGTAGACCAATAAGAAGTCAGCCACTGTTGAAAACTCTTCCACCAGCTTGCTAAAGGCCGGTAGCTGGTTTATGAACGGTGGTCAAGTGGCAGAACCGAAGTTGACAACCAGTGGGCGCTCAGGATTGGCAAAATCTAGGAGATGGCACTCAGCTCCATATCCCCCATCAAATCTCTTCCACTTGGAATTGTTCTGTTGACCATTCCCAACTTCAGCTCTGGTAATGTGGACTACACTGGAATTGGGGGCATCTCCACCCAATTTCACCTGATACCAAAAAAAGAAAAAAAGGATGGGGAAGGACCCATGTTAAATATCTTACCAAGTGTCCTCCAAGTTAAGTCTAAGTAACCACAATCAGCTCAAAAAAAGGCTACATTACATTTCTTCAAAATAAGGTACAATGATTTCAGTAAACTTAGTTTACAAAATAATGACTTTGTAATTTTAAAATTACCTTTTGTCCTGTATAAGGACTACAATTTTTATGGGGGTAAGGGGTGCTAGACCAATCATTTCATTATAAGGAGCTGAGGCGGGGGCAGCAAAAACCCTCCCTAAATCAATGTAACACTAAGCAATTGTTCTGCAATTTAAAGTCTTAAAAGTTACCTGGGACACTTAGAGATTGAGTGATTTGTCCCAGAGTGCCACAGCCAGTTTATGTCAGAGGGAGAACTTGAACCCAAGATGTTTTTAATCCAAGGACTTTCAACACTGATGCTTCTATAAATGCATCATAAATAACTTCTTCACTCTCAAGTAATTTCTATCTGCTGCACTGAGGCTGGTACTCTTTACAACCATTACTTCCTTAGCTGCTAATGCTTCATGCATGTTACATAACTGAATTATTGGCTCCATTTCAAAACCATGACATAAAAACGTTAAAATGAATTGCCCAAGTTCAAGCAGAATGCCAGCTGGCAAACTAAAAATCTAGGAAAGAATGTCCAATTTGGGATTCTCAGTTCAAAGTTCTAGAAAACATGGCATCCAGCAATGACCTAGGGTCCAAATTGATTCATTCAGTATCGACTAACAAAAGAAGTAGCATAATTGACTGGATCTGTTTTGAGGTTCCCAGAGTTCTTAAGCTGAAATCAGACTTACCTTCCTGGCTTAATTGTCTCCAGCTAATTTTAAAACAATTTATGCAAATGCTGGATTACTTTTGAAAAAAATAAGATTGTTTTAAATAATTGCTTCATAATTGTTTATTAATAAAGTAATAACAAATCTTTCATTTCAAATATGCACTTTATTCTGTCTGAGGACAAGCTATTGGTCCTACAAGACTGGAATGGCAGAAATTTAATCACAGTTTCTCTCCAGCAGTGTCTCTTTACACCTTAGGATTACATTAAGGCTTCAACATAACAGTGGCTTAAAAGGAGGTTACAAGTGAGTTTTGCTTGACCTTCACTTCCATAATTGAGGGAAGGACAAGAATAGGGTTGGGGGAATACACAGGAGGAGTAAACATTCTTGTGGTAAAGTTTCTAATATTTATCAATGAAATGTTACCTACCTTTAATAAAGAGATATTTTGCATAAATCAGAAAAATGATACTAACCTAAAATCAAGACTTCCAAAAGTAACTTGCAGGGCATGGCATCACATCTACCACATTGAAAATATTTGAACAGTTTCTTTTCTTTTTTCCTCTTTTTCTTTTAATATCTGACACAAAGACTTGAATAACTCTGGAGCTTATTTTATAAATAATTCCAAGCCAAACCCTACTGACTATAAGAAGAACTGCACAAGAAATACCTACAACAGCACTCATACATACCTCCAAAATGAGTGTTAGCTGCTAACAAAACCCTGTCTAGCAGGTGAGTGGGGGGGAAAGAGATTTACCCCATCTCTATAATACCGGAGAAAGCCAGTCCTTCGATATGAAGTTTCCAATGTTTTTTTTTTCTCATTCTTGTTTTTAGTAGCTTCATCCCCTTTCTTACCTCCATTTCCCTTCTTCTCTAACCACAAAATTTTAGGGAACTTCTCAATTACTTCCTGGGTCTGTAGCTGGACCCATTCTGGCTTGCACAAAGGATATGGAAGTGAGTTTTTTTAAGGAGAGCAAGAAGACCCATTCAATAAAGACATTTAGTCACAAACACAAAAAAATTGAAAGGAATTTTGCGGACACTTGGATATGTAGGTTGATAATAAAATGCAGAGAATATAAAAGAGGCAATTACTTTAGCTTTGGATAAGTAAAATTGGATCTTTCCCTGGAATGGTTTAATCAAAGCCAATAACATCAGGGACAAGTTACCATAGTACAATTGATTTTTATATAGTGCCCTTCATACTACAAAACACTTATAATGGATCTCACTTGAATGTGCCTTCATTTATGCTAGGGAGGTAATGCTGGTGTTAATTGAAGTCACTTGGAGGAGAATTTAAAAAAAAACTCTACAATTTAAACTGGTACATTCAAATTCTGATGCTCTATGCACGCTGTTCAAGAATCTTTTTGGCAAATTTCAACGCATAACTCACTTTTACTGCATAAAGGGCAGAACTAAGTAATATTCTATTTTAGAACAGAGACAGGCAGGTTCATAGTAGATAGTACTATTTCTATTTTACATAATTAGAAACTAAAGGAATTCCTGCTTAGATTTTTTTTTCCCCTGTTAAGTAGCTAAGTAAAAAAGTAAACCTAATTAAATTAAATGATGAAATCATGTATTTTAACTTTTCTAGTTAAAGTGGTTAATTTGTAAGGTGAGCTGGAGATACATAATTTAATAAGATAATTTTGTTACTGGAGGAAATTTACTTATCAGGTTACCATGACTTTATTGATGGGGTACTCCAGTAAAGGAAGACCACCACCTCTCTACTCATAGACTAGAGAAGATAGTCTTTCATAACTTCGTGTCCTACCTTTTCTTCGATAAACCTACTGTGAACTGCTCCAAGTTGGTCCTTAATTGATAGTCTGTAGCTGGACCCATTCTCCAAGTCTTTCCACTTTGCTAAGGCCCGCACTGTGTTGGCTGGACTTCTGAAAGCCCACGTCACCCTGACACCATGAGAAGGCACTGAAGAGGGATTTAGTGGAAGTTAGAGAAGATAGGTGCCAAGGGTAGATGGATGAGAACAAATTTTAAGTTAAGTTTAGAAGACATTTTGATGATTTGCATGGGGTTTAGTGTCCTTCTTTCACCCACCTAATATGTATAACCTGGTTAAAGAGGAACACTGCAAATTTAGGGTTCTCATTATTACCTACATCCTAATTCAATTTTAATCAAACATTTAGAAGGAAAGAAGCATCTATTAAGCACCTTCTGCATTCAGCATAGCTTACAAATATTCTCATTTGGTCCTCACAACTACACTTTGAGGCAGGTGCTAATAATGTAGTTGAGGAAACTTGAGGCTGCAATCTGTACTAGGCATTATGCTAAGTGTTGGGGATTCAGAGAAAGATAAAAGCATAATCCCTGCCCTCAAGGAGCTCATATTTTAAGGCTTTTAGACAATATGTATATCTCCCCATGTAATTCTTTTGTGGGTATGAAATCCCTGAAAGTTTATTGCATCAGAACAGACTCAACCCATTATGCCTCTAGAGTGACATGAATATAATAAGAGCAAACCTTTTCCTGAACTCCAGAGTTACATACTTAGCCATGAGGAAGGGGGGTAGGAAACCCCAGAAACTATTAGATTTTAAGTAACTTCTGGAGCCCATGAACAAGTTGTGTGGTCTTTTTAAGAGGGACCTCTGACTCTATGACTGTAACCTAAGCATACCTGAAGAACATTTCATTAGTCACAAGGTATTCAACTGTGCAATCAGTCTGATTTCATTTCCAATGACAGTTTAGCTAGGGATCATTTCCCTGGGAAAGTTTTGCATCCTCTCTTTCTGCTGGTGACAAAGTAGAACTCAGAGGCAGAATTATTTCTAAATGTGGCATAATTAAAAGAATGAAAATAAGGATTGACAAGAAAGACAATGCATCATTTAAATTTCTTGTCCAGTTGCACAAGATTAACACTGCATTTCCTAGTAACAATAGATTGTCAGTGAAAAGAAATCTCTTTCTAATCATGACACTTGCTCTGGGGTTAGTATAATTACCTAATTGTGGTGGGCAGGCAAACACTCTTTCTGAGGTCACCTAGCCAGCTAGTGACCAAGTGAGAAATGGGAACCTCTAAAACCCTCCCTTTGAGAATCTTGCTATAAACAATATGCCTCTCTGCCAGGCTAGCTCAGCTGGTTGGAGCATAGTGCTAATGATGCCAAAGTCAGGCATTTGATACCTTTGTGGGCCAATTAGCTTTGCTCTGTTTGGTAGCCACAACAGCTTGCACTAGTGGAGAGGATACTGGATTTGGAATCAGAAGACATGGGTTCAAATTCACACCTCTGGGCTTCACTGCCTTCAAATTATTTCTAAACATTAAGTGTTCATATATAAAATGACAAGGCAACCTTAGTCTGAACTGAGATCATATTCTGGTAATTACTGAGGTTTGACACTGAATATTGTCTAGTTTACTAAAGGCAGAAGCCCAAGTATGATGTGAAAACCAAATAACAAGTGAAAAGCATTGAATAAATGTGAACTATATCACCAAGTGATATTATCAGAGAAAGCAAAGCAGACTGCCCTATGGAGACAATATTTTAGGAACAAAGAAAGTGGGGAGGAGAAAAACAGATAAACTATAAATAAATTTTAGTCTCCAGAGCAAATATCTTAAACATTTAGAAACCAGGAGAAGGAAAACGATCCAATCCAGAAGGGGAAAAAAAATCTCATTATCCCTTAGATATTAACATATAAAAGGCTCTTCAAACACAATCTTAAATTAAAGAGGATAGACCTGTGATTTCACTGGTTTAGGAAACCCCCTCTACCAGTACAGGTCAGCATTCTTTGTGTCTTATTGGACCCATACTTACAGAGTTGCTAGTTTGGTATATTAGTGGGTCATTTTCATTCACAGAATTATAAAACTTCAACCATCCAGAATGGAAATTACTTATGGGCAGAAACTGTGTTTATTTTGTCTCTATTTAGGACAATACAGTGTCTAACACCACAAGAATCTCTGTTAGAATATATATCTGGTAGTAAGTGGTCATCCAATCCTTCTTTGAGGATACTCAGGGAGAAGGAAACTACTGCCCTCTGAGGAAGTCCAAACTGATGGCCAGGTATTCAGAAAGCACCACAGGACAAGCCTCCAGGGTTTTGTGACAGAAAGAATTTGGTTTCCTCTATGACACATGCCACGAATGGAGGGTTTTTTTTCTCCATACTCAGTTGTGGAAGTCATATTATTATACCACCATAGAACTGGAAGAGAAGCAGCATTGTAGAGTGTACAAGACTCCAGACTTAAGAGTCAGGAAAGCCTGGGTACATATCTTTTAATCTCTCTGTGACTCAGTTTCATCATCTGTAAAATGAAAGACATTGAACTCCATGAGGTTTATGACGACTTCCAGCTCTAAATCTATAATTCTATGATTGGAATCATTAGTTCCAGTGATGGAGAATGTCTCTTTTCCCCAGGGCATTCTCTTCTTTGATAAGACCAAAGTGACATGAGCTAAAAAGCAAGATAAATCCAGTCCTATAATATCATTTAAGTCTACAAGAAAGCAATCCAACAAAAACAAGTCATCCTCTGGTACTTCCTAAATTTGCTTTAATTTCCCACAGTGGCACAGAAAGTCTCCTGGCCACAAGTTACCTATCATCTTCATTTCTCCTTCTTAGAGGGTTTGTATTTGTTTTTTGGGGTTTTTTTTGTCCTTAATGAGACATATTTGCCAATGAGGCATTCAAAAGGCATTTTTTACTCTTGCGGAAGAGTAATTAGGTCGGTGCCTCATTCCATGCCAACATTGGCCACTCCATAAACGAACCCTGCCCAGTATTTAATGCCCAAACACAAGAAGCATCATTTCCACTAATTGGTCTTGAAGTTCCAATGTTCCCAAAGGATTTCTTTATTTGAAGAGGCTCAGAATAGTATGTATGCAAAATCTAATATTGCCATCACCAATTTCTATCTCACCTGCATTATTTTGATTGTTCATTCTTTAAAAACAACACCATCAGTAACAACAAAAGAATAAAGATGAATTGTGGGAAACTACTTGAATTTCAGGAGTATGTAATGCCTTCAAACTGGGTACCCACAATGGCATAACCATAAGTACATGTATGTAGATATATCTGCTGAACACATATTTAGATCTTAGTCCCTTAATGATGAGATTGCCTTCTAGAGATATGTGTTTAGTGCGGGGGGTGGGGGGGGGGGGATTAGTGCTGCTTGAGCATGTGGACTGCAAAGTGAAGAGAGAGGGAAAAAAAAAGAAAAGAAAGACCTATTCATAAACTACAAGCTGGAAATAGAGCATATACTACTAACCTTGTTCTCTCTTTTCCACAGCCTGGGAAAAGCTTCATGGACAAAATGTCACCTAATCTTATGATAAAAAGCAAAGAAATACAAAGGGAGGGGCTAGAGGGGCAGAATCTCACATACACCTCTTGTGATCAAGGCACTTAAAATGGCTTTATTATCCATTAGGAAGTTTGGAATTCTTTGGCAAAATCACCAGGCTACATCAATGCCCTTACAAATGTGGTCAAATAATTATTATGCTGTGTGATTTAACCATTTAAATTCAGATAAGCTGAAATCTTTAACAGGGTTGAATAACAAGTAACCAGTATACTAATCCTTCTCAGCCTCACTGCTGTTTAATTATTTCTTTTTTAAATTAATACTTGAAAATGCAAGCTCTAAGCCTCTATAATTTCCTAGTGTTTTGTCCAATTCATAAACAAACTCTGGTTGAAGAGCTCTTTATATCCTTATGAGACTGTTTCTTCCATAAGCAAACTATTTTTCAGAATACTGTAGAAACTAGTTGGAAGGCCTAAGGTAAGTGAAGAAGCAGAGTGTTAAGAGAACATTTTTAAAACCAAAATTATATGCTGAAATAAATATATTTTCTGTGACATTTCAGCACTAATAGTGCAAAAGTTAATTTGTGTGTCAGCATCTGTGTTGTTTGTTGACTTTTGCACTTCATTTAGGTGAGGACAAGGTGGCTAAAGTGGTTAGCTTGGGACTGGTTGCATCTCTGTGCTTCAGCACAAGGATACATTGTTCATTAGGTTCATGCACTAGCTGAAGAAGTTTAATTTTTAAATGCTTTATTCATGTTGAAATGTCATAAAATTGTACATGTGTGTATGTGTGTATACACCTTTTTAATCAAGATTATGTATGATGGATGTTCTGCCTGAACCAAAGTGTCTTTACAATCATCTTGCCTAATTTACTCTGTATTCTATTCAACTTGTCCAATAAGAGGTGATATTTTCCCTCCATTGGGGGAAAAAGCAAACAAAGGCTATAATTCACATATTTGTATTCCAAGCATCAACACATCTTCTCAGGTGGCTGACACTCAATAACATGGACAGAGCTGAAAAATTACCTGTCACACATATACACTTCACCATCTGAAAATGTTTCCTCTGGGTGCAAGTAGGGGGAGCTTTTCAAGGTTGTATCCCAGAAAAAAAAATGCAAGTCATTGTTATGAAATAGAGGGATGCCATCTCAAGCAGAACCTCTCCAAGTACTACATGACTACACCAAAAAGCTGGGACAGATGACAATAGGTGAGGGAGGTTAACTTTACCCATTCCAGAGGTTCTGAATACCCTACCCTCCACGACCACTGCAAACATGCCTAATGCATTCTGAGAAAGTCAGTGTTTACTAGATCAGTCTTACCCAACATTTTGTTTTACTGTTTGCATTCATTAAATGCCCCGGTGGTAAGCACTTTGCTCTGCCTCTTCATGTGGCAGGTTTCATGTAAAGCATGAAGGGCAAAAACTGTAGTTAGCATCATCAGCAAGCATCCTCAAAGAACAATCGAAAGACATAAAGAAGCACTAGAAAAAATACAGAAACCATATGCAAAGGAGGAAACAAATTACTCATCTCTCCCAATTCCAAGAATATAAATAACAAAATATTGCAACACAATGGAAAACTTAGAGAGGGGGCATTTTTTCTTTTTCAATTTAGGATTTCAAAGTTCTGAACTCTTGCCATTAGTTGCTGCTGGGGGGCAATAACCCTCTCAAATACTTCACATCATGATGATGTTTTTACTTGGGAGATGACTTGCAAAGAAAACAAATTCTACAAGCAGGTGTGTTTCTTTTTTTTTTTTTAATCTTAGACAAACTTCAATTGTCTTTCCAAAATCATAAAATAGTAATAGTTTTAACTACTCAAGCCAAACTGCTGGCACCCCCCCCTTAATATTTCTGCCCACTCTAACATACAGTGAAAAAAGAGAGAGATGATCCTTCTGAATTCAGTGAAGTTGAAATGATTCACTCCTCTGCATTTTCATAAATTTTGAATATGAAGTGAATAACTCTTTACTGTCAAATAGATATTCTTCTCCCAGAGTCTAAGTTCATACTTGGGTTTAAGTATTTGGGAGAAAAACTAGTTCTAGTTCCTCTGGCATTCTGCTATCAAATGGACTTTCCCAGTTTAAAGCAAATTCTTTTCCTGAAAGCCACACGTGGTTTCACATGTAACCAGAATAGGTGCTTTGTGACTGGAAGTTATTTTCTCCACCTCCTTCTCAGTAGCACAACAAACCTCAGGGGATGCCTTCACATAGCATTATTCCCTTCATCTTTCTTTTGTTTCCTATCTCCATATTCTAAAGCACTGCTTAACAATTTATCTCCCTGACTACACACTCAGTTTCCATGTTGCTCCAGGGGCCCCCTGCTCCAGTCTCTAGAGCAGTGGGGTTCCATAATACTGTGTGGGGAAACCAAGATCTTGCTTTTTGCCAACCAACCTTGAAAAAGGAGTTCTTTCCTCTTAAGGCTAAGGGGCCTTCGGGAGTCAGATGGACAAATGGATAAAACAGAAGAAGAAAGATCCACAAGATTCTTTATTGCCTGCTACATTCTGAGTTCGAGGATTCCGATGACACCTACAATCAGCGCAAGAGCTGGTTTTCCAGCCTTTGTAGCCCAGAAAAAAAGCCTTCCTTGAACTCAATCTCAGCAGGTAAGTGAAAGAGGACCTAGTTTACTATTTCTCTCTATAAGGGATGCATGTTTAGAAAAAAAAAAAGTTTGAATCATAAAGGATTATTAGAATCTTATTTGCTTCACACACACGCGCACACACAAAAAAAATTACTTCTTAAGCTTCTGAACAGCCTCAAAAGGGAAAATTAAATTTTCTGTCAGCAATTCTAACCTTTTTGTTGTAAATCAAAACAGAACGACAGAGTTACACTCCTCACTCTTCAAAGGGCCCTAATCTGGCTCAATAGATGCTTGCATCTGCAAATGGGTCTGTTTAATTTAACTTCGCACTGCTATCCTAAACAGGGCTGCCATTAAGCCAAAACCCGCTAGCCTTAACAAGCTACTTCTTTGAAGATGTTCCCACCCGGTATTTTCAAAGTTCTTTCTTTTTCTGTCTTCCACCCTCCAAAATATCAAGATTTCTTCGATTTTTAATGCTGCTGCTTATCTACCTCTATCCATAGACCAAAAACAAAACCACCCAACATAAAGCACTGTAGGTTCCTAGCTGGTTAAACTAGTTAACAGGTAGCATTGGTTCATTTCTACCCAGTGGTCCCATCCAAGTTAAACTGAGACGTAGAGAGGTATGTTAGAGAAGGAGCTAGCGTACTCCTTTTTTCTCCCCGCCATGTACCCAAAGTGAAGACCACAATCCACATAGCAACCCCCAACCAGGTCCAAAAGTTCTATCCCAATGCTTCTGACCAAGGGAAAAGAAGCATGGCTGGTCCCAACTTACCTGTTTGTAAGCATCCAGGAGAAAGCTTTTCCAGACACAGCGTAGCCCTTCTGAGGTCAGCATGCGCCGCCACTCGCCACGAGTGGACTTGGACCGGCTCAGCAGCAGCACCACGTGCTTCAGGAGGATGACCGAGTCATAGAGAGCCAGGAAAAGGCAGTTGGAGAAAAAACCTGGCAGGATTTGCAGTGTAATCAACAAGTCTATGCTGAGTAGACCCATCTTCTCCGCCTCCTTAGTCACTTTGCTTGAGTTCTCTGGTTTCCCTTTTGCACCCTCATTTAAGGGAAAGGGGAGGGGGGGGTTAAGAGGAGGAGATGGTAGTAAAGGAGGGGGGGAGAGAAGAAAAGAAACTAAGATTGCAAATAAACCTAAACTGTCACCTCTTTCAAATGATCAGAGATGGCAAAATCCAGTCAGCTTCTCAAATCCAGCAGTTAGAGCATGCCCATCAACTCATTCAACTCTAAACTGCTACTCCCCCCCCCAGAACTTAAGATGTTAAAAAAAAAAGTCCCTGATCCAGTAGCCTCTTTGAGTCCGTTAAAGAGAGACACTGCTGCACTTTCAGTTCCCAGTCACTATAAAATTGAAGTACACATTCTTAAATTAATTTCAGCTTTTCATTGTCTTAATTATTCAGGTTATCCCGTTTCTTTTCTTAACTTACAAGGGCTTCCAGGTTGGTTGGTTGGTTTGTTTTTTAAAATAGTGCTTAGAATATAAGGGGGCTGTTTTCTTTGTACACAACTTTCTGTTTCTCTTTCTCCTTCTTTCTCTCCCTCAGTCCCTTTCCGAGTGTGTCCTTCTGTTTTTTTCTCTCCCTAACTCTATCTTTTCCTCCCTTGCTATCTGTCTGTGGTGCAAAGTGCTTCTCTCTAGAGCCCAGTTTGTTTCCCTGAAGCCTTTTATACATTCCCTGGCTAATTGCTGCAATAGAGAAATGAAAGCCTAATCTTGGTAAAGATCTTGACGTCATTGAGAAAGAGGGCTTTACTTTGGCCAGAACTGCAATGAATAGAGAAGCAAAACTCGAAAACTTTTTTTTTTTTTGAGAAGGGGGGGAGGGTGGAATTTTGCTTTGTTATTTAAAGAGAGAGAGACGAGAAAAAAAATGTTCAATACCTTTGACTGCTTTCAGGAAATGCTTTCAAACTTAGGGGAAAGAATTTGAATGTGACCTGCAGAGGGACACAGCAATGAACCCCCATTGTTGGGGGGGGTTGCATTTTTTTCAAAGGATTTGGGGAGGGGGGTCCAATGTTAGGATTTCTTTTTTCCTTTCTTCTTTTCCTGTAAATGTTCAGAAGTTTTCTAGAGAATTACTAACAATCCAAGTTATCCTTCTCATTCATACAGTTTGTTACCTAAGATTTTTTAAAAATAATCATTCATGTAATTTTCTTGACATTTATAGAAAATTAAAGGTGGGAGAATAAAGTGTTTTAAATATATAGACTATTCGGTAACCTTAGATTATATGTGCAAAACAAACAATCAAAAGATCATTTCCCTTTGAGCTTCAATGCTGAAGCCCCAGAGCAAAAAAAGGGGGGGGGGGAGGGATTGAGGAAGAGAAAGAGTTCTTCCACAAAGGGACAGACAGCTTCTTTTAACCATGTTTGGCCTACATGCAGATATGTCAAACTCTCCATTGAAAAACTAATTGGCATTTTAATGTCACAAGGACATCTGGATTAATTTTTTTTTAAATAAGGAAATTTTAAAGATCTGCATTTTTGCTACCTCTTTTAGGTGTTATGTGAATATTTTGCCCCCTTAGGAAATCTTGCTTCATTCTTTATACTTTTTTTTTTTCAAATTAAGTCTTCAAAATTCTAGGTGCAGAATTAGTGTTGGTCTGAGGTACCAACCACATCAACAGGTTTTACAGTCAAAATCTCCTATTAAGCCTGCTGGCTAGGTAAGTTAGAAGCAGCCCTTTGGCCCAGCTCTATCACCGCCCCGTATTCAGAGTGTTCTTTCTCACTGACCTAACAGCCCACCTCTAGGAAATATGTTTGCTTGGAAGGAGTAGCAAGTAGAGACACTGGGGGAAGGGGCAGAGAGAAAAACCTTAATTGAAAGGGTATTTCCTGATTTTTCTCCATGTACAGAGTTCTTATTGATTTAGATGTGAACCGAGAGGAGCATCCAGACCTGTGGCAGATTTGGGTTCTGCATTTTCTCCTGTTTAATCTCCACAGACATAGGAAGGATACCATAGCTTAAATTTCTTAGGAATACATCATTGTTAGGGCAAATGAAGAAATCAGGCAATATTTTTACCTGAAATTTTTACTAGTAGGTAGCAAGAATATACTATTTTTTTATAGTGCTTTTAAAAAGACAATGATTTTTGTCTCTCTTCTTCCTCTCCCCTCCCCCACATTTTCAGCCTCCCTTACCAAAAAAAAAAAAGTCCTAAAAAGAGAGGTGGAGAAAGGAGACTGCAAATGGTATTTTACATAGTACAGAAGGAGAAGGAGAGAAGGGGGAGTGGGAAAAACAGAGAGGCAGAGAGAGGCTGCTTAGCACTTGCCTGTAGTGACAGTGGAAGGCAGGAGCCAAGTTGAGGACAGAACGCAGGATGTAACTCCTCCATTCACTAGCCTAACCACTAAATCTTGCCTCTTCTCAGACACCACCTCCACTTTATGATTGGACTTAAATATTCCTCCTCCTTCAGTAGACTCCAACTCACAAAACACAGCAGAAAGGCAGCTTCTCCCTTTCATTTGATCTTGAGAGGGGAGGTGTGTTTAGAAATGGTAAACTGAAGAGTGATTGGTAGGAAATCAGAAAAGGTTTTCTTTTTAAATTCAGGGTTCAAATGACAAAACCAGATGAGGAATTTTGTCTGTATTACCATTTTCTAGAATCTCTATTTTATTTCCCCTTAACCCATCCCTACCCCCCAACACACACAAACACCTCTCTTCCACCTCCCCCTGCCCTCAGGTCAGAAGAGTAATTCAGGAAATTTCTGTGGTGTCAAGAAAAATATGGGAGAACAAACTTGCTAGTCAGGAAGTTTCTTAGAGTTCTTCTACCTTTTCTGAATGAATGAATAACCCCTAAGGCTAAGGAACTACATTTGCTTTACCTAAGGGTTAGGCAGGTCCTTCCAGGAGTGCTCTTCCTCCAAGCCTGTGACTTGTACAGCATCCAATTCAGAAGTTCCATATCCTTTTTATTAATAGCACTTTGATCTTCAAAGAACTTTATACCCACCAAGTGACTAATGCATACACAAACCCATAAGGTAGATGACTTCGATTAATCCCATTACACAGATGGGTGAATCATTGAGACCCCTAGAATTTGAGCTAGTGGAACTAGCATCATATAATTTTCCCAGTTCAGAATCCTACCTTTTTTTTCTATTCAACCAATTATCTCATGGATCCCTAGGAATCTACTAAGAACCAGAGCTTTGGCTTGAAGCTGATGTCCTTGATCCTTTTACCCTCTAACATTCATGGGACACCTTTTAATTTTATTTCATTTCTATTCATATTGGCCCAACTGAGCTTCCTGCTTCAGGTTTCCAATGATCATTAAAGAGACTTATAAAGTTTCTTGGGATCAAAGCAGTCTTAGCAAAGAACATTTTGATGAGTTAAATACAAACAAATGTGAGGCATATGGATTGCATTTCCCTTCACAATCCTGTACTCAGGGTTTTTAATTCCAGGGGAAGGGACCTTGGGCAAAATGCTTTAGGCTTTTTACTAAATATGGAACAATGGGGGAAAAAGGATTCAAGATAATTTTTTTTCCAGAGTATGACACTGTTGAGCACAGTCATTACTTCCCTCTAGTTAGGAAAATAGCAGGTGTGCCAGTGAGATGGCTCTTTTATGAGGTCTTAGGATGCATTGCTAAAGGAAAGTCAGATGGTTTTCTTCCTCAAAAGAATCTGAGGAAATTTCCTCCTTCAACCTTAGCTAAAAGCACACAAAGACCAGACTAGTCACCAGCCCACTTAGTAAATGTTTGTCCTCTTGGCTCCTGGAGTGGCACTAACCAGGAACTAACTCTTTTTCTAGGGGATAATTTACTTTCTTCCTCTGGTCCCTTCCAGCTTGGCCCAGGATGGGGGTGAAATGAAGTATCAATAACTTCTCCAATAACTACTATTATTTAAAACACACGAAGCAGGAGTTCAAAGGCATAAAGGAAGTTCCCACATACACCATATCATTAGCAGCAAGGAACTGGAAATAAAGTAGGTGCCTATCAATTGAAGAGCAGCTAAACAAATTATGGTATGAGAAGGTAATAGAATATTTCTGGACCATGAGAAATGATGAATGTGAAGAACTGAGAGAAGCATGAGAAGACTTGGATGAACTGATACAAATTGAAGGAAGCTGAACCAGTGAAACAATACACAAAATGACTGTATATAAACAAAAAGAACAAAATAACCAAATACTTCAGAAATATGATGATCAATCTTGGTCCTGGAGAAAGGTTGAAACAATCTCCCTTAACTGCAGCACTGGAAGATTATGTGGATGTGGAATGTTGCACATACTGTCAGACACAGTCAATTGGTTGATACATTTTAACGAATTGATTTTTTTCTCTCTTTCCCTATCATCTTTATTTCAAGGAATAGCTTACTGGGCAGGGGAGAGGGTAATGATACACTTGGAAATTAATATGATATAAAAACAAGTATCAATAAAAATTTTAAAATGAAATACATAAGGCACTTGGAGTTTTATATGGGTTCAGCCACATCACTAATAAGATAAGGTTCCTGCCTTCTAGAATCATGTGACAAAACAGAAACCAAACAGATGAACTTGGACACACCTTTAGAAAAGAAACTGGCATAAGGAAGGCAATCTTTGTGTGAGATAACAGCCTTAAATTCCAGCTGACTTTTTGGGGCTCCTTGCAGGCTCTGGCAGATACTATGATGTTGAGATCTCACCCTCTTCAGCTATTTTGACTCATTTTTAAGTCATTTACTCAAGTGCAAGAGAGGGAAAAGGGTAGGAAGAGATCCCTCTTTTTAAAGATGAGGAAACTAAAGCTTGGTATAGGAAATTACTTATTTGAACTCATATAGGTACTAATGAAAGATGGAGGATTTGGCTCTTGGGCCTCTGACTTAGGGGAAAGAAGGTAGATAAGGAAGAGCAAGAGGTTACTCATTGAAGTACCTGCTGAGGCTGCCAGTAAGAGTGCCAATTAATACCAATTGTTATACTGTTTTTTGTGAGGAAGACAGCTGTCCACCAGGAACTGAACTGTATCCA